TTATATGGAACCATCTCTTAGATACTTTATCCCAGCAATTATCGTTATATTTATAGTTGAATGACTGTTATTATTTCATATAGCAGTACAAGTTTAATTATAAGTGTGGTTCATAGCTTATCTCCCTGACCGCTCCGTTCTTAAAATTCTTTGCCTGCTTTCTTTCCCAATGTAGTTAACACTAGTTGTGGCTAAACAGGCCATCACAGTTGTATATAAGGTAGTCTGCAAGCACCAAATTTTCCTGTATATTTTCTGGTGCTATCCTCTTAGACATTCAAGAAAGCAGACAAGGAACTCTCTGTTTCCATCACAGAGTTAAATGTTTAATGTCCCTTTCTGTGTTCTTGGCCTCTACTAGCTTCCTCTGCAAGACAAAATGGTATTCCCTCATGTCCATTACTGTTTTCTTGGCAAATCCACATGCTGCTAACACTGCTCTGTTAAATCATGGGTTCTTGTTCACTGCATTCGTAGACCCCCAGGGCCAGATACTGGCTCCTGCTCTGGCAGTATGAATAGCTTGTAAAATTGTCCTAAACAGGTACCTGAGGATTGCCTCGGCCTTACACCACTCACTCTTATGCTTACCCTCCCTGCTGGATGGCATAGCTGGGGATCACGTTACAACATAAGTGACATCGGTAAGAATATGGTTATCTTCTTCAGTGTACCAGTTGCAAGGGTATTGTTGTAGGCAGCCGAGACTTAAAGCAGCCCTGATGTTTGTTATTGTAGGAGTTAACTAAGCCAGAGATAGCAGTGTTAAAGATGGCACTAAGGCCAATTCAGGGGTTACACCCTGTCAGATACACTGTATGGAGCACCTTTTAAATATAAAGTTTTTTATATAACTTTATAAGGATACAAAGTTGTATAAAAATAAAACATAAGGAATATAAAATCTGACAGGATAAATCGATACATTTCTGCATAATGACTGAAGAAGTTTCTACAAAGAAATGAAGTATTAGCTTCAATGACTTGCTCCTCATTCTGAAGCCTGTGCACATTGAAGCAAAAGTAAAACCTTTCCATTAAAAACAAGTGAATGTCCAAGAATGCCATATTTAAGCACTGCTAATTTTAAAAGCTAAGGGCTAGATAGATTAAGAAATTTAGACATAGAAAATAGAAACTTTTAACACCTGACTAGGAGGATGTTGAGCTTCAAGTGTGGAATCCAGACCCTGAGTGAGGTACCTAGTCTCTATATGAAATACACAGAAGTTGAAAGAAGAGAAAGCTGTCCTTAACAATGCTCAAGCAGCACAACTTAGAGCTAGTTGCCAGCACTATGTCCAGATGGCTTTTGTATGTCTCCAGGGATAGAGACTCCACAACCTGCCTGGACAACCTGTTCTATTGCTCAGTCACCCTCACAGTAAAAGAGCATTTTCATATGTCCAGATGGAGCCTCCACTGTTTCAATTTGTGCCCATTGCCTCTTGAATAGTTGGGATAGATGGCATTGCTCTTTCATACAGAGGTTTACAGCTTAAAATACAAGAAGAGCTTCAATTTCTTATCTTTTCAACTGGAAGGAATCCATTTTTAAACTCCATATAAAACTGTATTATCTTGAATTTGAGATTCAGTGGTGGTGTTTTGTCCTCTATTGAAGGACTGCTACTCTGCAGGAAATAATTAAAAATTCAGAAGTTTCAGTAAGAGCTGAGGAAGAGCATGACTCTAGACCTATTGTTAGAAAAATCACTTAGACTGAAAAGATGTGTCTCAATATCTACTTTACAGACCACATAATCTGAATACACAAACAGGTATGGGAAGAAAATTTACAAAAAGACTAACATTTTTTCTTAGTTTTCATTAAAGATCCAACTAAGTGGGTCTGTCTGCAATGGATCTTCTTTGTAAACTGAGTTTGAGCAGAATTCTCTTTGTTCGTTGTTCAAATATGCACAAATTTTAGAATATCTCTATTCAGGCTTTACTCTTTATCCTCAAATTTAACTAAAGGTAATCATATAATGGCACAGACATGAATCCTTTTTCTAATGTTCATGTCTGTCAGTCAGTTTAATGTTCTGTCTACACATAAAGGTGTCTGTATCCTAGTATAAATAAGTCTCTGTACAAAAATGTTTTGAATTTATGTGTGTTGGCTTCATTTTCAACATATTGCTCTGTGTTAGTGTTTCTATGTTTAAAGCAGATTTCTGCCTTTCTGTCTACTGTTCTGAGCTCACTGTCTGGTATTTAAATATTGCCTAAATAAATGAATTCACGTTCCGTTGTGCTAATGTACACTGTGTTCATACAAAGTTTGAAAGCAGGAGAAATGAAGTGTTTTATCAGTTACACAAAAGTTGCTGTTAATACTGTATGGTAACTAGTTTTCAAGGTTTGGTAAAATTTGATTATATTATATGCTTTATTTTCAGTATAACATATGTATTGTATTTAAAAAAAAGAAAATTTCCCATGTGAATACTGAACTTCTTGTAGTGTAAAAACACATAAAAAATGGTCACAACGCTGATGTGAATGTTCTGCATGCTCATGGAGAACTGTAATAGTTAATTAAGTTCTGATAGCAGAAATTAGCTAGCTGTCACAAAACAGGGCTTCCAAACAGTCTTGTCAAAGTAAGGGAACAGAAAAGAGAAGCCTATACTGTAACCATCACGTTATCAAAAAGAGCAGCTTTGATTTTTTCTGTCTCTATATTGCCCCATGAAATCCTCCCGGAGATAATAATCTTAATTATATTGATCTTTTGGGAATGCTGATAAAGTTAGATGATAATGAGCTGGGAGCTGAGCAGGGGCAGCTGTAAGCCTTGCATGGACTTTTTCCAAATTCTTGCACATTTTGAGAGAGCAACATATAGGTAGCATGATGCTCTCTCTCTAGTAATACCCACTTCTCTGGGTCTTCTTTCACTTTGTTATCTGTACATTCTTCAGCATAAACATACTTTGTTTTTTCATAAATGCTACAAGAGAATTCTTCACGGAATTCCTCTCTAAGTCATATTTTGTGTGAAAAGGAAATGTTAAAACACCCTCCGAAGGATAAGGAATAGGGTTTTAGCTAAGAGTGTAAAGCTCGTTTGATTCTGAAGATTAGTGCAGTCCACAAAGCCTTTTTTTTTGATGGTGTGTTTGATCTATAGGCAATTTATATTCCACCTCCAGGAATG